GGCGCCGTGAACCTAGCCTGCAGACTATGTCCACGGCGCCGTGAACCTAGCCTGCGGACTACGTTCACGGCGCTGTGAACGTAGCCACTGCGTTATTCATTTATTTCCGTGATTTTGTGTCTAAAGTCCTGTCTAGTCATATAGTTATCGTATAGCTTGCTGTTTAACTTATATTTCTTATTGTTGTAATTTTCGATCAATTTAACTGATATGTCGAGACTTCAGTGCTTTCTTGTCATATCTCCATTTTTGTAAACAGTGAAAATGTGACTTCTTCTTTTGTGTTCACTCTTTGTTATATGAACTCGCTTCAATAGTTGTGAACACGTTTCTTCTAGCACCCAACATAATACTAAGTTAGAGGAATTGGGGCAGTTTGTGTCTGAAAACCTATCGTCTGTATCAATGGAAGTGGCACGAAGTGGTTAAGTTGTGGGTATTTTTTTCCAAGACAAACAGATGAGAGAGGTGTATAATTTGCAAATCTGTGCCGACAAATTATTAGTATTAGATCAGCGGCGCGACGCTGGAGAATAGCTTCTAATCTATTAACCGGCGCGACGCCGGAGAATAGCCACTTGCAAAGCAAAAACTAAAATCCTTCGTTCATGTAACCAAAGAAAAAAGGTCAGCTCTATTCGGACTCTAGATCTAGTCCGATTAGATTTTTTATTCGGACTCGACTCCGAATGTAATATGGGTTTTATCTATTTGGACTCGGGTCCAAAAAAAATGTTTTATTTTTCGGACTCAGCTTCTAAGTGAGTTATGTGAGAGTAAGGAGGTTACATACTGTCGTAGGGAACTTTACGAAAAACCAGAATTAGAACTAAAATTACCTACTAGGACTGTGTAATTGTGTCAAAAGTCAAAAGACTGCGCTCTCATTGCTCAGAGCACTGTCTAAGTACACAGTAACGGACAATTCAGGGTCTTTCCACCACTACTACAGCATCATAACTTCCACCACCCTTTGTTATTTAAAAAAAGTTTTAGTAGAAGTTTTACGGCGCTCGCAACTGCATAGGGCATGAGCGCCAAGGGGTGGATGTCAACAGAGAAGTCCTTACAGGGAATCAGACTTAATCTGCTCTCCTCTCAAGCTTCAACAGCACAAATACTGCTCCGACTATCAAGGCACCACACAAATATGGGTCACAA